AAGGACAGAAAAAGGAACAGAAAAGTAAGTTCTTTAATCTCCTTACATCACTAGAAATTAGAATTTACGATCTCTTTATATCATTTCACTTCAAAACATCCAAACATGCCAGCCAGAAGAGCTCTTTAATTATGAACCCCTCCAAAAACAAACACACACATTCATATGCACACACAGATACACAGTCAGAGATACCCAGGACTAATGAGGAGGAAGGAAGTATAAGATAAACAGAGATCCATGCACTAAGGTAAAAAAAAAATTAATATATGCATAATAAATGTAATACACACAAACCTCTCTAATAGCAACTCTACCTAGAACATTTCCTCCAAAGATTCTTTTGTATTGTCTTTGTAAAATGTTTCAAAAAATTCTTTAAGAAGATTAAAACATTACATTCATATTAGCACTTGACTCTCATGAACATAAAACTTTTCTAAAAATAATACAGGAAGATTTTTGTAAGATACGAAATTCTAATATCAGATCATTATTATTTCTGTGGAGTTCCATATTAACTCAACTATATACTGCGATAGAATCATGAAATTGGGCCTTTAAAAAGCAGTTCTTGATGATCATATGTTCATGGATCTCTTTGAGAATGAGGTTAAGAGTTACAGACGGCCTCCTCAGAGGGGAAAAAAAATACATAAATACATTTACATACACTTTTAGTTGATTGAAGAACGCTTTTTGGCTACCTACACCCTGTTGGGGATTCACTGGAGACCCGAGCACCCTAGGGTCTCATCTTCATCTATAAACTATAGGCCCTTTCATAAAAATGAAGCAGGCTTTAGTTTTATTGCCAGTTGACTCTTAAAACAGGATGCTAAAACCTCTTCCTGATCATGCATTAAAATCAACTTTTCTCCCCTGAAGGAAACTGAAGCACAGAGTGTAACGTCGTACTTATTAAAAAAAATATCAGGAGCGAAGAAAAGAAAGGTAACTTTAATGATCTTAGCAAATTGAAAGGAAGTAGGCTATTATTTCCTGGCCCAGGTCCTTGAAATCTCTAAAACTGTTAAAAGTGCACTTCTTTACAGAAAGGAAAGAGTTCATCTTAAATAACATGAAACTACATTTCATGTATATTTCAAATATTCTATAACCCATGAAAACTAAATATTACTAATTCAATGTACTATCGCAAAACTTGCCTATGCATACCTAACAGCCTGAAGAATGAGAAAGCTGTTAATACACTGATTTGGGGTTTTATTGGTTTGTTTTGAAGGATGGGCAGCCAGAGAAAATATCTGTTATAACTTAGTATCCACACGCAAATTAGTCATTAAACTGATTTTTTTCATTTTCCCTATCTCATCAAAGTATTATAATAGAGAAATTGTTTTCTAGATCAAGGGAAAAATATGTAAATTATTTTTCTAAATAAGTGTATCTTTCCTTGTTAAACATCTACTTAGCATTCTCACTTTCATTCCTCTCTCTCCCTCCCTCTCACTCTCATCATTTCTGAGGAATATCTTCCTTAAAAAATGGCATGGGGGCTTCCCTGGTGGCGCAGTGGTTGAGAGTCCGCCTGCTGATGCAGGGGACACGGGTTTGTGCCCTGGTCCGGGAAGATCCCACATGCTGCGGAGCGGCTGGGCCCGTGAGCCGTGGCCACTGAGCCTGTGCGTCCAGAGCCTGTGCTCCGCAACGGGAGAGGCCACAACAGTGAGAGGCCCGCATACCAAAAAAAAAAAAAAAGCATGATTTATTTATTAAACACATGATTTATTTATTAAACACTTATTAAACACTGAATTCTTAATAATTCAGAACTGTCATCATAAACATTAATTATTTTAACAAAGCTGAAATAAAGTCATGCCTTTAAGAGCAAGAAGAATAATAATAAGGAACAATAACAGGCCTTTACTGGAGCCACCCACAAAAGTGCCTCATCAAAATAGCTATGTAGAGATACTGGATCCTACCCTACCTAAACGGCCTCAAGCAGGTATGATTTTGTGTGTGTGTGTGTGTGTGTGTACACATGCTTTATATACTTTATTTCCTAGTCCCCTTTCTTGATAAGACTGTCAGATAGTACTTTTTTAGTATACTTGCCTCTAGAACTTCACAGTGCCATACCAACCATATTAAAACTATATCGCATTCAAAGTTTTTAAAATTGCATCGAAAATTAGTCTAGTTATCATTCTGAAGAGAAACAGTCTAATGAACTGTCCTAGGAATTTCTGGACATGAATTGCATGGCAACTATTTGATTTCATGAATTGCATGGCAACTCCTATTTGATTTCTTCAAATTGTGAAGTAAGATTTTAAGATATACCACTGACTTAATAACAGCTTTTCACTGAGAAAAAAAATCACTACACTAATTCTTTTCTTTGTTCAAATTATAAATTAAGAAAAAATTAACTGATTTACCACCTCCTTACAGAAACTTAGCAAAAAACTCCTAGGAGAGAACACAGGCAAAACGTTCTCTGACATAAATCGTACAGTTTTCTTAGGTCAGTTCTCCAAACTACAAACACACACACATATACAACTAATCAATTCTGGGTCAATTCAACAAATGCTTTAGTTTTGGTCTTTATACATCCACAATAGCTTCTGAATTACTGCTAAGGTCTCCTCACTGAGTTCCCTACCTAAAGTCTCCTCCTGGTAGAAGAAAATAAATTTAAAAATAACTTATGAGATAATCAGGGAAATTGGAACACTGACTTGATATTTGATTATATAGAGGAATTACTGTTAAATTATTTAGGCATAATGATGAAATTGTGTTTATTCAAATAGATAGTAAGACACATAGATATACATAGATATGTGTGTATATATACATGAATACATTGATGATATTTCATGGTTTATAAAAGCTGATGTTAATATTTCAGTAGTATAATTGTACTATGGTATGTATTCATTTGTATATATACATATACACATACACATATAATTTTAGGATGCTTTCTCTTTTACATACTGAAATTTTTAGGATTTAAATTATATAATTCCTGATATTTGCCTCAAAATAATCTGTGGCAGTAAAATGAAAAGATGAAACAGATGAAATAAGAGCCTGAATGCTGATAACTGAAGTTAGATATTTGGAATATGGACAGTCGTTATACAATTCTTACCACTTATATATATGTTAGAAATTTTTCATAATAAAAAGTTTAAAGACTAACAAATAAAATATTCCACTAAAAAACTAAGTGCCTACTCTTTGATGTTTCTCCCCAAATCCTCCAGGCAGATTCAGCCTATTGAGGCTGCTATTCCAGTTCTATTATAGTTACCACCATTAAATGATTTTCTATTAGGCTAGAGATAGTGGACTCCATAAGGTCAAGCACTGTGTCTTATTCATTTTGGTTTCTCCAGAGCCTAGCACAGAGTCAAGCAAAATGTCAGCACTTAATAAATGTTTACTGAACCTAAATGAAAAAAGAGACAGAGTACAGACAACCTCATCTGACTGTGCCATTTTGCAGAAACCATTGTTTTTTCCCATGTCATTTACTTGTTAGTAACAACCATAAATCAAAAAGGATTGAAACCATATATCTAATATTCCTGCAACATCATTATAGAAGTACTGTCTAACTCTGAGCAACTTATTTGGAGACTTATCAATGACTCAACAATGTTTTACAGCTATATGCTTCAATATTGTTTAATTACCAAAACTGGTTTTGCAAATATCTAGAGGATCTCCAATTAACATCAAAGATGTTATGAGATTCTTACAGAAAGTTAATTTTAAATCATTTTAATATGCATGCAGAAAAAATCTGTAAGATTATACACCAAACAGTGGTTAATTTCTGGAGATGTGCTGTCCAATACAATATCAACTAGCCATATGTGGCTATTTAAATTTAATTAAAATGATATTATACAAAGTTTAAAATTTAGTTCCTCAGCTGTACTAGCCATATTTTAAGGGCTCATTGGCCAAATATGACTAGTGGCTACCATATTGACAGCACAGATATAGAACATTTCCATCATCGCAAACAGTTCTACTGGATGGTGCTACTGATTTTAGTGTGCTGATCTTGTAACCTGCAACACTGCTAAATTCATGTATTAGCCCTAGTAGCTTTCTTTTGGATTCTTTAAGATTTTCTATATATCAGATCATGTCATCTGAGAAGAGAGATAGTTTTACTTCTTCTTTTACAGTTTAGATGTCTTTTATTTCTTTCTTATTTAGTTGCTCTGGCTAGAAGTTCCAGTACAACGTTGAATAACAGTGGTGAAAGCAAGCATCCTTGTCCTGTTCCTAACCTTGGGAGGAATGCTTTCAGTCTTTCACCACTGACTATGATGTTAGCTGTAGGTTTTTCATAATTGATCTTTACTATGTTGAGAAGTTCCCTTCTATTCCTAGTTTTCTGAGTGTTTTGATTATGAAAGTGTGTAGAATTTTTCAAATGCCTTTCCTGCATCAATTAAGATGATCGTTTGTGTTTTTTTCCCTTTGCTCTATTACTGTGATATATTACAATGACGGATTTTCTTATGTTGAACCAAACATCATTTCTGGGATAAATCCCCCTTGGTCATTGTGTTTACTCCTTTTAATATGCTGTTGTGTTTGGTTTGGTATTATCTTGTTGGGGATTTAGCAGGCATTTCTTTTTATAACAATTATAGAAAATATTATAAAAATACAGTTATAGCTCATTATTTTTTAGTTAGTGAGAATTATTTTTTAATTAAGTGAAGAGAAAATGTATATATCTTTAAGCTATTCTATTGAACACTAAAAATTAAACTTAAGGGAGAGGAAAAATTGTCCCTTTTTATGTCAATGATAAGTTTTACTAACCTCTTACAAGTGTTCAATTTTAAAGATGTTGCTTTTTTAAGTCTAATTTTTTATATACCTACAAATATATAATGAATCACTAAAATATGGCCTATGGGATAAATACAGCATCTTCAATAATTCTAAGCCTACTGCAAAAAAGATAAAGTAATATAAAAATACTTTACCCCTTCATAGAAAACTTTAGCACAGTCCTTTGCTAATTTTCCAAAAAATAATACACTGAGGGTGTTGATATCCGAATTTGAATTTTCTTGTTCTGTGGAGAAACACAGACACACAGAAAAACACTTTAGATATAAAGGTGTTCTAGACAAGAAAATTGATGACAACTAAATTCTAAAAACTATAGATAATTCAAAATATAATTATGAAGAAGAGTAATTAAAACGTTTAAAATTCACTTGTAGTTTACTCTTAACACCTTAAGTATCATAAAAATAATGTATAGAATGCTACTAGGTGTTAAAACCAAAATTATAACTAGTTGCACCTAAAATACGTTTTACAAATTTCTGTAAATACTACATTAACATCATATAATGACCACTTTCAATTTATTTTCACATGGTTATGATCAAAAGAACTGAATAAGTTACAATTATTCAATTTTTATAGTGTATAACATATCACTCCCCAAATACTTCATTTTTACTGATATTCTGGTAATCTATAATTATTAGAACATGAAGTTTTAATCTAGGGACGTGTGTTCTTCTCCCCCAGCACCCGCATATTGAAGAATAAAAGAGCATGTGTGTCTAAAAACCAAGCTATTTGTGATTTTGACAATGAAAATTACTAGGAAAAGAAGAAACAAACATTTTACAGTAATCTCATTTGTATATTCTAGGCTTTGATAAAGAATCTCCATCATCTTCATTCTTCAGAGGCCACCTCCTAGAACCACTGAAGCAAGTCCAAATACTAAGATTCAATTACTATATCATCGGAGGGAGGTCGCATTAATATAAGCTTTCAAACATTCAACTACTCGAAGAAACTGCCTTTATATCAGACTTTCATGTATCTATGAAGTACATGAAAGATCTTTCTAAAATTTGCAGTGTTACTTAAAACTCCTGAATCTGCTACTTTATCACCAGCAATGAAACAACTACATCTGTCTATTGCCTCCTTTCACTTACCTCTTTCATCCAACTCCTCGAAACAAGTATATACATAAACTGAAACACTAATGTTCCTTAAAAACAAAAACACAATGGCTTCTAATCAAGATATAACTTACTTCTTTAATATCTTAAATGACCTATCAAATGTCTATTTCTGGCCATGACAGAGTAACAGGGACGGGATTTGCTCTCCGGCCTTAAAGCAACTAGAGAAGTAAGAAAATATATATAAAACAACAGTTTTCAGACACTGGACAACAGTAAGTGCAGGTAAGTGATCTCTTTGAGATGCAAAACAAAGCAATAGCCCCAGCTTACTTCCTGGAAAGAGTTTCCAGGCAGCAGAAAATGGAGGTAAAAATCCAAAGAAAGCCCAACAGCCTCACTGAATTCAGAAGAGTTCAGATTTGAGGACAGCAAGGCAGCTAGAATCTGCATGAAATGGTGCTGAAAGGAAGACAGCAGCATAGATAGATAAGAGCGCTCTGGAGATGGGTGCCTTCTGGTCTTTGGTTGAGTACTGATCTACAAAAGGATGGGAGGAAAGGGATTAGAACCACTTGAAAGAAACAGGCAGAACAATTCTGAGACTCACACAGGGCTGTGAACTGTTCTGGTTCCAACCAGCCAGAGTGGAATCCTCATTCACAAAACACATAGTAAACTTGTCAGAAGGGCACTTCCTTAGTGATAAGGGCAAATTAGCCCCCAAATAAAGGCTGCTCTAGATCCATCCTACCAAAGCTAATCAAACTGATTCTAAGAGAATTTACAGTATTCCAAAACAAAGACAAATAATATTTAAAGGATTACAAATAAATCCAATATTTGATAATATAAAATTCTAAATGTCCAGGATCCAGTTAAAAAACTGCCAACCATACAGAAAGGAAAAACACATAAGGATTGGGGCAGGGGGCAGGGAATCAATAGAAAAAAACTCAGAAATGACAGCGATGACAGGATTGCCAGAGAAGATTTTGGAACAGTTATTAAAAGTACATGTTCAAGGAAGTAGAAGAAAATAGATGAGGAGAACTGGCAGATATGAAAAAACTCAAGATGCACTTCCAGAGTTGAAAAATATAATATTAGAAGCTAATAGTACACTGATTGGAGTTAACAGCAGATTAACAGACAAGAAATGTTACTGAAAACTGGAAAATAGAGAAAAATTAATGAAAAGAAAGGCCGATTTTAAAGATCAGTAAAATAAATCTCTAGCCAGAATGATCAGAAAAAAAAGTGAGAGAGAGAGAGAGAGAAAATAGTCTCAAATTATCAAATCAGTGAAATGGGACACCACTACAGATCCTACCAACATTAAAAGCATATAAAAAGTATATTATGAATGACTTTACGCCAATATATCTGACAACCAAGATGACCTGATAAATTCCCTTAGAAACATAAATTACCAATCACTGCAGGAAAAGACAGATTCCTATCATATTTTTCATAAATTTAACAAAATATTAGCAAATCATACCTAGGAATATATAAAAGGATAATACATCAGGCATACCACCTTATCCTGCTCTATTTGTCTACAAACCACATTTCTATCAATTATTACTTTATATAATTATTTGCTGAATTTATTTATTCCCCTACAATGTAAACTCCATGAACGCAAGAACGTTGTTTTGGTCACTGCTATATTCCCTGTACTTAGAACAGTGTCTGATATATATCTGGTTTTCAATAGTTGTAGAAATGTGGTTCAAAGTTTGTTTCCCATTCACTGCTGTAGACCATTCTTCATTCATTCAACTAATTTCAGACTTCAGATGAGATTTACTTTGGTCCCCAAGTATTCTAAACTCTTACCAGGATTATTTAAGGGTTACTAGGAAGAAGAATTCTCTCTCATGTAACTACACTTGGGTAAGAAATAACATGCTGAAAGTAGCATTTTCTTAAAATTTGCTAAGCTGTTTGGGTCACATTAGTGAAACTAGAAGTAGGGGGATGAGTTGGTTATTGTAATAGTCTAGATAGGACGTTAAAGGAATCTGAAGTATAACAGAAGCAATGGGAGAATGGGGAGAGGATAGACTTCGGAGAAAAAAATTTAGAGAGGAAAAGAATAACTTTTCATTCCATAGATTTTTACACTAGAAATGATTTTTGTGCTTATGTGTGTATGTATACATACACAAAGTTACCCATTTCCAGATTACAAGCAAAAAGTTAAGCAGAAATGGTCTTCTTATATACCTTGTAGTCCAATCTTCAAAACAGCTCTTCTGTTTCCACCATAAGTTAAAGAAGAGATAAGTGAGAGTTTTCCCTGAAACGAGAGAAAAACAGTTACACAGAAAAGCCAAAAGAGATTATAATACCAAGATACAAGTAAAAATTAGAATAAATTTTTTAATTTGCTTTATTCATCATTACAAAATACTGGAAAGAATCCAAGTACTGCTATACTGGGGAATGGATAAACAGACTGTGATGGAATTCTAGCAACCAATAAAAAGTAATACTATTGGGCTTCCCTGGTGGCGCAGTGGTTGAGAGTCCACCTGCCGATGCAGGGGACACGGGTTCATGCCCCGGTCCGGGAAGATCCCACATGCCACGGAGCAGCTGGGCCCGTGAGCCATGGCCACTGAGCCTGTGCGTCTGGAGCCTGTGCTTCGCAACGGGAGAGGCCATAACAGTGAGAGGCCCGCATACCGCCAAAAAAAAAAAAAAAAGTAATACTATTGATAAACTCAACAACCTGAAGAATCTCAAATGTCTTGAGTGAAAGAAGCCAGAATCGAAAGGCTACCTACTGATACCTGTAACATATAATACTGTACATCAACTATATTTCAATTAAAAAAATAAAAGGCTACATACTGTATGATTCAATTTACATGGCATTCTTGAAAGGCAAGAATACTGTATACTCTCAGAAAACTGGTCAAAAGTGGTTGCCAGGGATTGAAATTAGGGTAGCAGCTGACTCTAAAATTTTTTGGGGGAGGGTGATCATCTGTTCTATAGCTTGATTATGGTTGTAGTTATACGTTTTTATATATCTCTCAAAACTCACAGAACTGTATAGTAAAAACAATGAATTTCACAGTAAAATGTATTTAATAAAATTCAAGAAACATAAATATGTTTCTTGAGATATCTACAGACACGTGCAGGTTAGACAAAGGAATTTAAGAATTCAAACTGACATTTTACTTATATATAAAAGGGTTTATTTTAGTAACACTAATAAAAGTACTAGAATTTAAAAAATATTTCATTTAAATGCTTCTATATCAAACACACAAAATAAGAGAAGAATGATAAAGTTAGATACAGCTCAGTAATAATTAGTATTAATGACTTGTCACAAAGAAAAGGAATCTAATCACAGCACTTTATTAATAAATACAAGTATGCAAGAAACATCATCCGAATCAACCAAATGCAAAATGAGTTTACAAATACTAACAAGCATTTGATTAGGAATTTAAATTCAATGAAGTAGAGAAGACCAACTGTAATACGTAATACTCTATTTCATATGAAACAAAATATAAGGAAAATGGAAAATAAACAAAGGAATAAAAGATAAATGTCTACATGGAGAATATTGATTAGAAGGGCAAAACTGAAGTGTGGCATTATTTCTCCTTCTTTTACTATCAGACCCATTTTATCAGTAAGTCCCTTACCTCCTTCCCAGCATTCTTAACTTTGTCCAAAACTTAAATATACAATAACTAAAATTAAAAATTCACTAAATATGCATACAATATTGGATATAACCCCCAAAAAAGTTCAGTAAACTTAAAGACAGAACAATAGAAATTCCACAATCTGAAAATCCCTCAGCCAAAAAAGAAAACAAAAACAAAATAGTACTGAAGAAAAACAAACTACCTCAGAGACCAGAAGTACAGTATCAAACAGTCCAACATACAAACATACATGTAACCGACATCCAGAAGGAGAAATGAGTAATAATATACTAAAAAAAAAAAAATCCAAGAAACATTAGCCAATAATATCCCTAATTTGATGAAAAACATTGACTTGTGGATCCAAGAAGCTCAGTTACCCACAAGCAAGAGAAATTCAAAGAAAAACCACACCTAAGCACTTGACAATCCAACTGCTGAAAACAAAAGACAACTATTCTGAGTTATGAAAATTCTTACCTCGATATATTTCCTGCTATAATCACAACCTGGCTGTAGGTATCTGAAATCTACTTTGTGTAATTTACTTAGCAGATCAACTTCAGGCAGTCCTTTGACTTCTTTTATTAATTCAAGTGGCATATCAGATCTGCTTCACAGTGCCGTGGAAAGCAAATTCAGTTAGGGAAGTTGATAGCTTACTGCTGAAAACACAAAGCCCAATGTTTTATCCAAAATGTAGTCAATAATTTGCTTTAAGCTTCTTTGATTTAGTTTTGCTTTTCCTTTCCTTTAAGTTAGTCATCACTGTTGGGGGAGAGGGAGGAAGGATGGATTATGCTATAATTTTATTACAGGGATCAATACACGCATCCTCCTAAGGCACTGAAACTTAACCCTTTTTTATTTAGTTTTATATTTAAAGAACTACTTCTAAAAGCCAGTTTTAGGATCTGTACACACTGCACTAGCAATTGCCTTTACCACTGTGCTTTAAAATGTACAAACTATGGGGAAGGGAAGGGAGGTTGAAAAGTTTTGGGTTTGTTTTTTAATCCCTTTGGCAGTTTTAATATTGTGTGGGCAAATTGTGCACGAAAAGCTTATTACTCCAAAATATATCAGTTGCCTCCCCCCCTCCAGCCCCTATGCAATCGAAAGAAACGACTATTGAACTGATGTTAACTTGTGCATTGCAGATTCAATCTTTTTTCTCAAACTTCTTGCCTGGGACACGAACTAGTGTCGATATTTAATTTTAGTGTGTGCCCACCAAGCTTCTCCAAGCCAGCTGGCCGTCTAGAGGGCGGGGGTCCTGCATTAACTCAAGTCAGCTGCTCACAAAACGCCAAGCAAGATGGTCAACACAGCAAGCTCACAAGAAAGACAAGTACGAACAGTTTCTCTGCAATAACTTCTCCAAATTTTTATCTAAACTAAATCAGCCTCTTCATAATACTGGTTCAGGTCCCGACTCACCTTGTACCCAAGCAACGAACTCCAAACGTACTTGGAAATTGACCAGCGCTCTAAACAGAAACCCGGAAGAGTTCAGACTGGCGCGCCCGTGACGTCACACGCACGCTAGCAACCCAATCCTACGCATGCGTACACAGTCGGTAGGCGGGGGTAATCTGCCCCTTGCTCCTGGGCGCTTGGAAGGACGAGTTGCGAGACCGTTTCCAGGCCTAAAATGCCCTGGAAGTTTCACGGAACACCTAGAGGGTGCGGTACCTGGGGAAGCGTGAGGCGGCTGTACTTCTCCCGCTCCCCGAATTTCCTCCGCTCCCCTTATCCCCGCCCCGCCTAGTTTGTGCAAACCGTGTGGGGGAGGGGTGTGCGGGGCGGTGGGAGACGGGAACGCTATGCTCTGTGGTTCCTAAATCCTGTAGCCAATGAAAAGCCTTTCCAAAACCAGAGCGGGTTTTAAGATTCCGTTTGGTAGGCTGGAAGTTCCTGTGGGCAGGGCCCTTATTTTAGCTTCCATTTCTCTCCCCCAAAAGGAAGCGCTCAAATGCAGCTTTTACAGTGAAATAATTCCACCAATGAGTAATGCTACTTTTCAGACAGATTTGATTAACCACTTTGTTTATAGGGCTATGATTTTGTGCTATAATTAATGAGACATTGTTAAATGTGAATCCTCTGCTAATTTCTGATTTATGCCTCCAGTCATTTGATTTAAGCGAAACCACCTCAGTCCAAAACTATAATGAAATGAAGAATTACATAAATATTTCCAAGCCTATTTGGACTAAAATATCTGCCGTACATATATATTTGCAGGAAGAAATAGCTAACTATATTTAAAGAAAGTATTTTTTTCAGCAGGAAGCACTTGGTGTTAGTCCATCTTCCCTTTCTCTCCCTCCCCTGATTCATATATCACCAGTTGTGGTAACAGTCTGAGCTCAGCAGCTGGCCATTAGAGGAAAACTTTCCTAAGTAAGGCTTAGATCCTCTCCTTGTTCGTACCCTGGTCTCTACCAGCTCATAAAAACTGTTCTTGCCTAAGTGAAGCCCTCCACCTTGGCCCTGGATCCTTGCCATGTTCATTTCACCTGTCATAAATTACATATCTTCTCTCAACCTATTTTCAACTTTTCCTTCTTATTCTTTGTGTTGATCTGAAACAAAGAAACTACCGGATAATTCTCCAGCAAAGATGGGTTTATTTGGGATCAGCAGAGCATGGCAACTCAGGGTCTGCAGCCAGGGGGAAACATGCAAGACCCAGACTGGCAAGGGAAGAAGAAAGCTGATACAGAGGGGGAAAGGGAGTTGTGAGGGTTTTAGTAAACAAAGAGTCCATGGCTTTTCATTGGCTGAGTCTTTGCCGGGAAAGAAGTCTTTCTTCTTCCTGTTGAGGTCAGCAGGGTGTGAGAGCTCCCTCTTCTGGTTTCCCAACTCTATTTAATTGAGGTTTCTGTTTATTAATTTTTTACATTTGCCGTTGGCATTTAAACACATTCTTCCACAGCCTAAGCTTACTGAGGGCAAGGAGAATTGTTTACTATTGTATGCATAAAACTTGAGCAGTTCTGTAGGTGCTAAATATTTGTTGAATAAATGAATGTTCAGGAAAAAATTTTCTCTTTCCTCACCTCTAGCTTCCATCATTCCATTTCACCCCCAATTCTACCCTATTAACACTGAAATTGCCTTTCCAAGATAACTGAAGACCTCTTTGTTGCTAAGCCAAAAGGATACTTTTTAGTCTTTCTTACTCATCTTTTTAAAAAGTATTTTCATTTTGCTACTGTAACTGAGCAGGACCCTATGAGGCCTTCCAGGGACAGGACCCACCCCCCCACCCCCCACCGCCAATGTCCTTCACCTGCTTCTTGTCTGTAGAAAACCTTTAGCCAAACAATAAATTCAATCAGAGAAATGAGAAAATGCAGAAACAAAGGAAAATAGTCAAATAAGACAAAATAATGATGGTTTAGCCATTAAACAAAGTTAAGGACCTTTGGCTCCTCCTTAAAGGCTATAGAAAACATTCTGAGCCATATCCTTTGAGCTGTCTTGCAGATAGTGAAACGCCCACCAGGTGGAAGATGTTAACTGTATGCTGCCCACAAGCATGTAGACCCCCAAACCAGTTGGAACCAGAAGGTTGATGATGTTGATGCCCAGTTACCTCACCACCAACCAATCGGAAGAATGTCCATGTACTGATCATGTGCCCCCAAACCCTCTCCTCAGCATGTAGCCCTTTTCCTCTTTACCCTGTATAATCTCCAAGCAAAACCTAGGGAGTTGGGAGTTGGTTCTTTGGCCATAAGTCCACCTTCTCCCCAGGACTGCTAGCTTCCTCAATAATGCTATCTTTCCTTTTACCCAATATTTGCCTCTCAGTATTGGATTCTTGAGCAATGAGCAGCCAAGTTTGAGTTTGGTAGCACTACCACATGTTCTTAGTTTTTCTCTTATCCTCCATCAACTGAACCTTTCAAAGTTTTCTTTTTTCTTTCCTATTTAGCCTGTAAATGTCCATATCCCACTGTGATGCAGATATCTAACAGAAGTGTACATAACTGCTTTTTTTGTTGTGATTGTTCTCAATTACTCTAGAACCCAGATGTTCCCTACATATCCAAGTAACTTCCAGTCTTGTTTCTTCTTCACAACCTCCCAATTAGTGGCAGAGCTGGGGATGCATCTGGCTCCAGATCCTATACTTCTTTCCCTGACATTAGCAATTAGTTTGTCCTACCAATGAAGAAAATTGAACATGAAATACAGCATAATCTAAGACAATAAAAGGAGAAAAAAAAAGAAACTGAATCAACTAGACAAGGTTACTGAACTCATATAATGCCAAAACAATCCATTATTGTTTTTCTACATCCATTGAAGCAGCATAAAAAGCTACTCCAAGACTAATAATTAATGTAATAGCTATTACAAATTATAATTTTTAAACATGCGGAGAAGAAAGTTTTGGTATAAAATCTACAATGTAAAAATTTTCAATTTTTAAGAAAAGTTAAAATGAGATTCTCACTAATAAATAATGAGCACTAAAAGAATTTTTTTAATTGAGAAAAGCATAAATATAAGGATTCAGTGCTGTTATTCTCAGTAATTGACCAAAATGAAAGAAATTAATCTACAAATTTCTGGTACTTTTTATCTATTAGCATTTTTAAACTGCTTTTTAATATTTACTTTTTAATGTTGAAATTTTGAACTGAATTTTCTAGACACCCAACACTTCAATTTTATTTCCTTTGCATTTCATTAATTGTGGGGCCATTAACCCATTCCTATTGCAATCAACTATCTTCCTGCAAGCATTTGTTATCATGTTGCATCCCAACAGCTTGACAATATCATGTTCTACTTATTCCTGAGATTTCCCAACAGTAATATCTAGGCTACATTGTTTAGCATTCATTTCCTCATAATTCAATAGCATTTCTGTCCAATCCTATTGAACATCTCAATAAATGTATAAAATCCTATTTCTAAAGCATCAAATTTTTATATTGTTATACAGTTGAATCAAGATATCTCAAACAAATTTATATTTCAAGTATAAATTTAAATATGTAATAGGTATGTAATCACAGTGCATATTAGGAAAACAACAGAGATCTTTTTAGACATAATATTGAGTATCACAAATTGGGGAAAAAAATCAATGTCTATTGAAGAGATTGCCCAATAACATGTATTTTAGTAGTATTTTTAAAAATTTACATATGACTTCCAGTTTTCTTCAAACGAAATTCAGTGAAAAGCCCTGTCTGAGAGGAATACTAAGGGACAAACCACACACTAAGGAAAAAGTGAATGGCTGGAAACAGAAAATAACAGCCTAAAAGCCTAGTTAACATTACAGGGATACACATGTGTGAAGCAAGGCTGAACTAAGCAAGAAGGGCCATGATTTTATCATGAAGAAGAGTGGGATATTCTCTGCTGGACCATGCCATGAGGCACGTAAGTAACTCATAGTGTCTAAGAGGCACAGGGTTGATTGAGACAGGCTGTCTCAACAGAGATAATCTTCAGTTAAGTTACACCAAAGATATATATTGAGATGAAAAAAGCCTGCATTCACAACATCAACATGAGTTAATTCAGAATAAGATTCTCTGACAAAACCGTTTATAGAAAAAGCAAAACAAAGAAACAAACAAACCAAAAACCCCCCAAGATCCCCAGGTGCCAATGTGTGGGAAGAACCACGTTGCCTAAGAAAATGGTTGGTTCTTCAAGTTTCTCTGTAGAGGTGGGGAAGAGGGAGAAATTGAGAAGGAACCAGCAAAAAGCCAGAGGGTATGCATGATTCCCTGAAGAGATGTCATTTTTTTTTTTTTTTTTTGCTGTACGCGGGCCTCTCACTGCTGTGGCCTCTCCCGTTGCGGAGCACAGGCTCCGGACGCGCAGGCTCAGCAGCCATGGCTCACGGGCCCAGCCGCTCCGCGACACGTGGGATCTTCCCCGACCGGGGCACGAACCCGTGTCCCCTGCATCGGCAGGAGGACTCTCAACCACTGCGCCACCAGGGAAGCCCGAGATGTCATTTTTTGATGCCTGTGCTGTCCTTCATTCACCCATTCAAAAAAAAATCTTTAATAAGGTAAAGTTATTGAGATCACAGGAAGTAAGGAACTTGGTCTATGTTCAGATTGATACAAGTATGATTGAGGCAGCACACACAGAAGAGAGATAAAGAAAAATAAGAGGGAAAGACCTGCTGGAAATGAACAGACATGAAGAATAGATTAGTCAAAGGGGAACTTTCAACTTCTTAACACTGTAGACGAATGTAACTTCTTAACACTGTATGCCTTGAGTTTAGAGTCCCCATTTTCTGAATGCCCTATGCTTTATACCATGTGGATATGTCCTGGAAAATCCTGCAATACTACTCACATATAGAACTTTATATCTATTTAATCTTAGACTAAAAAATTGTGTTGATGGCTCGTTTTAGAAAGACTCTGGTCCAGTTCTGAAAGTTGGAGAGTGTGGTAGCAGGTAGCAGTATGTAATCTGATATTTTTCTCTTTTGTTCCCATCTTTTTTGAGTGATCAAAAATGGGCACATTTTTAAAACCTTTATAATGAATAGTTT